TTAGATGAGGAAAAAATTTTACAAATAAAGATTGAAAGATAAGGTAGGACATGCAAGCCCTATTTCAAAAAGACTAAGAATTACATTCAACCAATTGCACAATCATATTGGGCCTAGTCTATAATCATCCATATACATCCATCCATATGAACATAAAATTAAAACTATATCTTATTCAAATTATTAATCATATGAGGTATCCAAAATTAATGTGAACTAATTTCGAGTTTACTTTTAATTCTATGTATGGAAACATTTTTCATATATGGAAAGTCTGTACTAATCAGCATTAGTAATGTTATCCATTCCTAATCGTATGAGGATTAGAATTAAGATAATATTACATAAACATTTTAAGTAGTTTTTACTAATCTTTTAAATTAAAGCTTAGGTGTCTTTAAATCTTTAAATCTAATATTTAAGATGACACTATCTTTAATTACATTTAAGTGTCCTATTCGAACTCTCTTTCTGTAAAGGAAGGATATTAATTCATGATATACTTATTGCCCATAATTATCCAGCTTCCATAATTTTAAGGAATCAAATTCCTAAATTTATGGATGTATTTGAATAAATTCTAATATCCTTATTTTAAAGAATCAAATTCCTTAATTTAAATATGTCAAAATTTATCTTTTTTTTAAACTAATTCCATACGATATTATTCAGCCAATTAGTGCTTTTAATTGCAGCAACTTAGGCTACAAATATGGACATTAAAACTCACAAAAATCATGCCCTTTTAAACAACTGGCAGCACTATACTAGTCACGTTTTATGGCTTCATACGGCACCAAATTAGGGAATTTAATTCCCAATTTTTAACCATGGTCAGCTAAAAAATGGACCATTTCTATATTAAAATCTCATATTTTTTTGACCAGATTTAGTAACCCAAAATCCCCAAAAACTGTAGCCTATGTTTGCTGTGCATTGCTACAATTTTTGCATTCCATATGTTGCATTATGGTGGCATAAATCAAGAGATTAAATCCCTTAATTTTAGTCATATTCTTAGACAATTTTTGAACATTTTCAAACTTCAAAATTTACCCAAAACAAAGCAACAAATTGCACAATTTTAGAGCTCTTTGAAGCTGCCATTCTCAACTAATACTGTGGCTTCAAACTGCTAATGGCAGCAATGGATTCAGCCACGGTTTCAGGCCCATTTCCCCACCGTTTACAGATGGTAAACAATCATATTGAAAAACTTCCAATGTAGATTGCTTCCAATTCCTTTTTCTTTTTCTTTTTTTTTAGCATTTTAGAGGCTTTTAAATCCCTTTTAAAAACTGAAAATCAAACCACAAGAAAATTTGGACAAAATTAAATTCTGTCACCAAAACTGCATCATATCACCATGAATTCAAATCCCTTTTGTTATCAAACTCTTTTGTGCATCTCATGTATATATTGTTTTGCAAAATTGGAACACTTAAACAATATTAGTTATTGAAACAAATAAGTATTAAAAATCAAAAATCAAATTTGTCATAAATTAATTTAAAATAGAATTGAAATTTAAAATTTATTTGATATCTTCCAAACGCCTCACATCCAATCAAAATTGGAACTAAACAATAACAAGACATTAATTGATATTAAAACAAGATAAGGGAGGTTCTGATATCATTGTTGGTTATGGCAAAAGTAGATTAAATGTAGCAAAAGAAATTTTAATTGATTAAATGTAAACACTATGTCCCACCTATCATGGATCACCTTAGTGTTTTTAATGCAAATAAAACTTTGAAGGATAGGAAAATGATCAAAATACCTTTGGCAAGTGATGTGGGAACGAGGATGGTTTCCTCCTCCTTTGATTTCAACTAGTGAACACTAAAAATAAGTGGCGAACTTGAGCCACCAAGTGTTTAGCCTCCAACAGATGCACACACGGTTACAATGGACACTTATTCAAGGAGAAAGCTTTCTAACAACGCCTTTGTACTAGCAAAGTGGACAATCTATTGTCCTCTTCTTCCTCACTTAATCTCCAACCAAACCACACAAGAGAAACTCTTCTCAAGAGCTCTCATAAGGGGTGGGGGCACTAAAGAAAATCTCTCAATTTTTCTAAAAAGAAAAACTTGTCTGAAGAGTGGCTAGATAAATGCCTTTTATAGCTAGGTTAAATAACTCATTTATTTGCAAATAAGTCTTCAATATTATAACTCCTCATAACATTACAAAAAAACTAACTTTTTCTGATGAAAATATTTTTGTTAGAAAATTCCAATAGCTATCCACTGGAAATTTATTTTACTTGTACAGATGGATTTCTGACTAAATTTTCCAACGGAAATGACTCTGTTGGAAATTCGTCAAAAATACTTTTGATGAAAAAAAAAATTAATCTAGCCAAATTTTTCAATAGAATTTTCGACGGATTTTCAACAGAAATTTCAAATGAAATCATCTTTGTTGAAAATCTGTTGGAAATAGTTTTGGCCAAAATAAAATATTAATCCGCCAAATTTTCCAACAAAACTTCCGACAGAATTCTGACAAAAATTTCCAATGGAAATTATTTCGTTGGAAAGTTTTAGGAGCCAAACTTTTCAATGTAATATTTCGTAGGACAATTTTGTTGGTATTACTATTTTTTAATTTTTTATTCAAAATCTATTAATAATTATTTTAAATTTTATTAATCTTTTATATTAAGAAAATTAAATATATACATAGTGAGTTTGGTGGCTTTAAATATTTAAATATATTTTTCTTTGGTTATTATTTTTTATATTTTTTGAAAACTTATAATAAAATCATAAATATTATATAACAGTTCCGAATTCAATAATATTATTTATAAAATGTTTAAAAAATAACATAATAAACATTTTAATTATATAAAAAGAGATTATAAAATCTAATATATAATTAAACAAAAACTAATAATACTTTAGGTACTAATACTATAGTTAATATAAATTAAGAAGAGTACTATATATAGTAAACTTATTAATATATAATATATTTAAAATATATTAGTTTATTATATGTACATAAATTAGAATCATAGTAATATAATATATTAACATTTTATATATATACATATTAATATGTTACCATTATTAGACCTAATAATAATAATAATAATAATAATAATAATAATATTTTGTAATAGATAATATTATATAAATGTATATCATTATATAATTATATATGTATTAGTTAATTAAAATATACATATATCTAATTTATATGTAAGCACTAATATAACTTATAATAAATTTTATTTATATGATTACACTTAATAATTTTATAATAAATTTATTACTTTAGTTTTTATAACATATATATTTTTTACAATTAGTTATTAATTATAAAAACTTTGTAATTATATATAACATTATTACATCATGCTTTACATTAAATCATATATTCATATTCTGTAATTCTAATACTACTTCAAGTATGTAAGCCTTTGCGATTAATTTCATATTATAATTTTAATAATTGAAGTCATGGGTATTTATAAATATATAGCTATATATATAAGTTATACAAAAATAATAATGCTTGATGTACTAGTTAATATAAATTATTAAAAAGAATGATATGTAGTAAATAATTAATTAATAATATACTTAAAATATATCAATTGGTTTGTTATATGTACATATACAAATCATAATTATAACAATTTAATATTAATTATATATATTTATAAACTTATATTAATATGAAATTACATTTTATATATATTTTACTTAATATAACTTAATGTTAATATTAATATATAATAGTAAACATCCTACGTATTAATATGTTAGAATTATTATAGTTATATATATAATACCAGAAAATCTAGCAATTGTGGCAAAAAAATTTTTGTTACTATTTTTTGTCATAGATAATGACTTATAGTAACAGAATTGTGACGATTTGTAATAGAATTAATGACAATTTGTTTTCAAGTGTTTGTGACAGATTTAGTGATAGGTTCATGATGAAATTGTGATAGCATTTTAAATATGTCAGTAAATCTGTTACAATTAATTGGGCATGAAAATTTTATTTTAGCTTCAAAAATTAGTGACAAAATCTTGTGATGGAAACCATTACAATTTGAGGATTCCTTACTTAGTGACAAAATTAGTGACGAAATTGTGACAAAAATTTAATTCTGGCAACCCAAGTAAATAACATGTGATGAATTTAAGTATAGCTGTAGATTATTGTGACAGAATAATTTGTCACAAGGATTAGTTTAATTTAATATTATAATTTGTAACAAAAAAAGGGATGGATTTGTGACAAATAATTTTGAGGTAAAAAGAGACGTCTTGCTAAATTAAAAATAAAATTGGTGGTCACAAATCTATAACTGAAATTTGTCACAAAGGTTATTTTAAATAATATTTATACAATTTTTTTGAAAGGTACGTAATTTTATTGTAATGTGCCAAAACCAACAATAAGTCTTTGAACTTTGAGTTACAAGAGAATAAAAGAAAGAAAGAAAATCCACACAAAATAGGCCCAAAATTGAGGATATTCAAGCCTGAAATACAATTTTTTAATGAGGTCTCATACATCATCAAAAACCCTCAGCATATATTCAAAAAATTGACCATTAGCATTAGCTACAAGGATTCACATGCTCCTTCCTTATAATTATAACTAAGCAACACTATAAATTGTGTCTGAAATAAAGCCTTACACCACGTTCTAATTATCAATTGATTCACATGCTCCTTCCTTATAATTAAAATTGTCTTAAACACAGTCACAAAACATGTCTTGTAACCCAAGTAATAACAAACAACGTAATTTCCACAACCTTTATTCAATATCCAAGTAGGAAGAAGAGATCAATTCACAATCAATCACCTTTGTAAATTTGAATTCAGCTTCCTAAAATCCAAGCATCGAATAATCAAGAAATAAAACCTAAATTAGCCAAGGAGAATCTTGAATAGTAACTAGTCCCATTAAACTTTAAGGCAACATCCATGGCAGAATAAGTACAAAGGTAAAAACACACATCTTAGCACCATGTTCGGCTCTCTCTTTCGCCCTTTCCTGTCGGCTGGAACTTTGTTTATGAAATGCCGCTTCTCTCTCCCTAAACCAGGCAAAAATCGACCTCCTCCGACGTCCTCCCTGTCCACCGACGGGCTATCTACGGCCTCCCTCCACTTTTCCTTTCTTTGATGACCCGAGGTGCAAATAATGTGAGAAATATAGCAAAACCCGAAGCCAACAACTCCGGAAGAGAAGCGGAAGCCCAGCTTCATCGTCGACTGTGAAGCCTCCAATCTGTCGGCTGGAAGCTTCTGACGCCAACAACTCCCGAAGAAAAGCCGAATCCCAGCCTCCTCGACCGTGAAGGCTCTGATCTGTAGGTTGGAATTTTCGAATCAAACAACTCCAGCAGAAACGCCGAAGCCCAGCCTCTTCAAGTGTGAACCTCCGATTTGTCGACTAGAGCTTTGTCCTTGTGTTTTTGGGTTCCCGTTTTGAACTTTTTGCCTTTGTTTTTGGGTAATCATTTTCCTTCAGTTTTTCGTTTTTTTATTTGGCTGACTGTGGCTGGAATTTCATAATTTTATTGGGTTTGTGAGCTATGTTTTGCTTTGTGTTTTCACAGGGATTTCTCTCCCTTCGATTTGGGCATTGTTTGATGTGAGTTTGATTTTGAGACAGAAGTGTAGCATTGTTTGAAAACTCTGTATTTTTGGTTTGCTGCTGCTCCTTGGGGTGTGTTCTGCTTCTCAGACCATCCTGCATCCTATACTATGAGCTTGTTTCTGCGATTCTTCATTTGTTTAATTTGCTTTCATACCCTATGATTACAGGTACACTAAGCTAAGGAAAAACCAAATGGTGAAGGGAGTGACGATGCTCCTGAAGAGGCAATGAGTGCAGCAACTACTGCTGGTTGACAGAGCAGTCCTGGTCTTCCTCGAATGCCAGTTTAAGAGATAGCTGCTGCTCAGATTCAGAAGGCTTTTCCGGCA